ATATATAAATTAAATTATATACATATATAAATTAAATTATATATATATATATATGTGTGTGTGTGTGTGTGTGTGTGTGTGTGTGTGTGTGTGTGTGTAAAAAGCAAGAAAATTTAAAAGTCCATCTCGGTTATAATTTATTTCATAAATAAAATTATTCATTTCTTCAGACCGAATTTTTTTTAGAAATGATATCAATCCAGACAAACACATGTATCGGGATAAAAAAAGAAAAAGGGAAAAAAGAGTGTGGAGAAAAAAAGAAAAAGGAAAAAAAAGAGAGTGGGAAAAAAAGGGAAAAGGAAAAAAGAAGAAAGAAAAGGAAAAAATTTTAATAGTAAAAAGGAAGAAAAAATTTTTCAAATATAATTTTTTTTATATTTTACTATTATTAATAATATTATTTTTCTTATTTTTATCCTTATCTATTTTTATATTATAAATTTGTTCTTTATAATAATCTATTTATTAATTTTATTAAGTCATTTATTTAATTCATTTATTTTATATATATATATATTTTTTTTAATTATGTTGGAAATTGTGATGATTATTATGTGATGTTGATTGCTGTCTAAAATGGCATGACTATCAGACAATTTGCTGTAAATCTAATTCTGATAATCCTCTACCGGTATATTAACTTGTTCAGCCTTTTATGGAAAAATTTTTCGTAGGTCTTACTATTTTATTGTTGCTATTAATTTATTTCTTCTTTCCTTTTTTTTCCTTTACTCTCTCTCTCTCTCTCTCTCTCTCTCTCTCTCTTCCTCCCTTCCTCACTCTTCCCCCAATCTCTCTTTCGCTCTCTTTGTTTTTTTAAAAAAATGATTATTAGAATTTTTTTCTTACTTCGTTTTTATTATTAATTTGTTTTCCTTTTTCTATTCTTTCTCTCTCTTTTTTCCCTTTTTCCTTTTTATCCTAATGTATATTTCTAGATGGATTGATTCCATTTCTAAAAAAGATTTCCGGTCGGAAAAGATGAATATTAAAATATTCATGAAATAAATTATAACCGAGATGGATTTTTCAGTTTTTTCTTGATTTATAATTATTATTATTATTATTATTATTATTATTATTATTATTATTATTATTATATTGCTCCGTAGCTTACATTGGACTGTCTTTAAATTAATGTCATATATATACATAATTTGTTATCCAGTATTTTGGTTAAAATACAGTGAGAAATATTTTCATCAAAGAAAGAAAAAATGATTGAAAGTGAGTTTACTTTCTGATGAAATATATTTGGTGTTATATATATATATATATATATATATATATATATATATATATATATATAACACCAAATATCTTTTATCAGAAAGTAAACTCACTTAAGTTCTAAAGAAAAAAAAAAAACTTTTGCTTCTTTATCATTGACTTCCCTTATATATATATATATATATATATATATAAATAATCGTTATTTTTAGTGAGTGGAAGTGTTAAATTACTATCCATTTTTATTTTATTAAACAGTAAAGTCAATATCCGGTCTAAATTGAGAAGTCCTAATAAATAAATAGCATACTGCGAGAAAAACCGAAACTGCGTCTCTTTTCTTTTTTCTTTCTTTTTTTTTTTTTTTTTTTTTTTTTTTTGACTCCGTGGCGCAACTTTTGCGCGAAAGTGTGATTCTAACCGTTCGGCCACGAAGACCAGCATGCAGCGCTCCTCTTAAGAAAATCACATTTATTGATGAGGCTTCTACGAATCTATATCTTGCTAGCTTCAGTAATATTTTTAAAGGTTTTTTTTTTTTTACATTATTACTATAAACGTCATTTTTAGTAGGTACACGTCTTTGAGTTACTATCCCTGTTTTTATTTTATTACAGTGAAATTAAGCACAGACGGCCTAAATTGAGAAGTCATAACGTTATATAATAAACTGTTTAATAAAAAAAACACATGGATAGCAAATAACACTCGTATAAACATTAAAAATAACGTTTACAGTAACAAAAAATAATGTCGGATAAGAAACAATATATACATATATGTGTGAGTGTGTATGTTTTGTAAGCATCTGTTATGGGAGATTACCCATACTAACATAATGGACTATTCCATACGTAATAAATACTGCGCCTCTAGAGGAAGCAGAGAGTTCAGTCTGAAGTCGGGCGACGGGCTGACCGGCTGATCGGTTGAACTCTCTGCCTTCGGGTGGGGAGGAACCCGAACGAGGCTACGCCGAAGGGCGGAGTCTCTTTCGGGGAGGTAAACCGACCCTGGACCCGTTTTATACAGGTTCAAAGGGCATATTTTTGGCCGAGCCCACGGGCTTGGAGATCCCACGTTAAACCGGCCTTGTGCCACCTGATGCCCTCGTGGGGGGGAGGGTGACTAAATACCGTTCCGGCTGAAGTCTGAAGTGAAGTCCGTCAGGAGTTTGTCAGTCAGTCCGAGCGAGCGAGTCAGTCAGTCGAGTCAGAGGCAGTCCGAAACAGAGTCGCGTTCAGACAATTACTACTAAACCTGATTGTTCGTACTAACACTTTCTACCTCTCTGTATATATTCCTGTTTGTAATATATCTGTGTTATTCCATATCCGTATTCGAGTTCTTCTTTATTGGTTCTACCTTGGATTATCACCGTGGTACAAGGAACCGGACCATAACAGCAACTAAAGGATTATTTACGTTATTTACCCTCTAATATCCTTGTCGTTATTGTTATTACCACAACGGTCACGTGACAATAGCCGAGTTGATTAAATCGTTCAGTTCTTGAATTTGGTGAACATAGTATTTGTGTGTGTTAATCTCTGGGCTGGGTAGTGCAAACTTAGAGGCCGTTTAAACAGTATTACCATTAACTGAACAGTGCTAAAACGGGGACAATGTAATATATCCGGATCGGCATAGAGAGAATAATCTACCGCCTTACATTAAATCTAGAGTTCAGTACGAAATTCCCTGAAGTTTACCCGCACGGACAAGCATCTGAAGAAGAGTGGAGCGTACAACGACCGAAACTTTGTGATAACAACAAAGATGGGGAAAATAGTCCGAATCTATTTCCCAATAAATATAATGTTTATAGTAATACATGTGTGTTTGTAATTTATTCCATATTAATATACAAACATTCTTATATATGCCTTTATGCCCGGTTCACACTCCTTCAACATCTTTCGAGGCCTATCCCTTATTTCCTGTTTAGGATTGGACTCCTTCTTCAAAAGTATTTTAATTTTTTACCTTCACAGTAACTCATTGCGACTTAATGGCATTATCGCCATGCTTACGCTGAAATGATTAACTTATATATATATATATATATATATAGCGAAAATATGTATGTTAATCACATCCACTTAAACATCACTTTACTTCTGAAAAAGTCCAAAGAAAAAAAAAATGTTGCTTCTTTATCATTGACTTCCCTTATATCCATTGCGTGCCAAATTATGATCGAGATAACCGTGCTGATAACAAATATGGCGCCAGTTTGTTTACATTGCGCAAATCAGTACTAAAATTTCAGTAACTGCGCAGCTCAGTGTTGCCAATATTGTGTGAAACTTTTGTGTGAATTGATTGGACGGTTTTTGAAATATTAGAAAAAAGTTATCTCGATAATAATTTGGCACGCAGTGTATATATATATATACATATAATCGTTATTTTTAGTGAGTGGAAGTGTTAAATTACTATCCATTTTTATTTTATTAAACAGTAAAGTCAATATCCTGTCTAAATTGACCAATCAGCAAAGTTGTCTCAAACGCAATTCATGCTTTGAAAAAGCACACATCTCTTGTCGTATACTAAAGAAAACTAAGGTTCACATCCAAAAAATTGGGAAATATATTTATTAATCAATAAAACTTCTGAGTTTAATAGATCTAACTTTTAGCTTCTTGTGATCTGATTTGTTCTTATAAATAGCATAATTTAAATTAATAAACTAGTTTTTCAGTATATCTTTGATCAGTATATAAATAACATTGATTACTCAAATTTTCGCAAACTCAAATTAACTTATTGATTACTAAAATCCCTTTTTGAAAATTATTTCTCGCTTTTAAATATCTAAACCAGTTTACGCAGTTTACAATACAAAAATACCCAACCGACATATAAACAAAGCGTAATTGTAAAAGCTGTAGTCGTACTGATATTGATCAGCTATTTTACGCCACGCACACAGATAATATAAAGTAAACTGTTGATTTCCCTGTTATAATTTCACACATACTTTTCACCCTATACAAACTCAATTCATTTCTTTCGGGTTGTAAACAAAAACGTTATTAGTATGAACATTATTTAAGAACTTTATAACTTGTTTTTTCAGCCTAAAAGAACAGTAAGATATCCGTTGTTCTTATAGATATTTTTATTTTTACAAAATAGTGCTCAATGTAAATTTACAGAGAATTAATATTATAAATTAACTGATTTAAAATATGTTTTTTTCGCTACACAGTTCTAACTATGTTTCAAAAATGGAAGCTAAAAGCTTTGAATTTAATTTTGTAATTAAATTATATACATATATATATATATATATATAATAAATATTATATATATATATAATAAATATTATATATATATATATATAAATTAAATTAAATTATATATATATATATATATATATATGTGTGTGTGTGTGTGTGTGTGTGTGAAAATTTGACTTTCTTTTACCGGTAATATAGGTGTGTTTTTCTTTCATGAAGTTTAATATTTACGCGTTTTGATTTATGTCAGTGAGGAAGTGTGTGTGTGTGTGTGTCTGTGTGTGAAAAGGAAAAACAGAAAGAGATCGATTTCGTATTTCTAGCCATATAATACAAACTATATCTTCCAAATCTTGCTTCAAACCTCATTCCGCGCAATCGACTACGAAGGTTCCAATTTCTGGTATGCCAACCGATTCAGGTGACTGCTATGCAATCATTTAACCGGAATGGCCTCTGTACCACCCCACAATTATGCACATAGATAGATAGATAGATAGATAGATAGATAGATAGATATTAACAGTTTGCGAATGATAGATAGATAGATAGATAGATAGATAGATAGATATTAACAGTTTGCGAATGATAGATAGATAGATAGATAGATAGATAGATATTAACAGTTTGCGAATGATAGATAGATAGATAGATAGATAGATAGATAGATGAAACGAAGAAAATTAGTGCAAACGATGACCGA